CATTTTGCTTTCCACTATTCACAAAGCAATTAAAAACTAAAAATAAATAATACATATTTGAATTATAGCTTCTAGTTTTAATCAAATAATTTTAAAGATATATAAAAATGTACTGAACAATTTCTCAAAATTATATACAAAGATTTAGCATGATTCAATGTTTAATCAGATTGCACATTTTAAGAACTTACTCTTTTGTATTTGTTAAGTAAACAACCATATTTCATTTAATTATTTCTAAGTATGTAAAATCAAATTCACCGTGAAATACTTGATTTTGAGAATTTATGGATTTTAACATTTGAAAAAAGAAATTAATTATAATATTGAGATATGGAACATTTGGCATCTATTATAACACAATCATCTAAATAAGTTTATTTCAATTAAGCCACATCAAAAAATTTTAACTCTGTAGTACTGGAGTTCTCTGTCTTTCAAAAAGTACACAAATGAGTACAATGTATTATATTATATTCAAAAGAACATGTATTAACAAAGCATCTAACCATCATCATCAACAATATATATTTAATAAATACAGTTTATTATACTTTTAAGTTATTTAAACATGTCTATTTAAAATTTGACATTACACTAAAGAAGGCACATGGAAAATAAACTCAAATTTTAAATATTTTCACATAAGATAGAACAAGGTAGAATGACTCAAATATGAAATAACACCAAGCTGATGTCTCATTATACAAAAAAGAAAAGTATCTAATTTGACTGCTTTAAAAAATCTGGCATTTAGGGCCGGCCCGGTGGCGCACTGCTACAGTACGCCGCTTGGGAGCGTGGAGGCGCTCCCGCCGAGGGTTCGGATCCCACATACAGACCAGTTCCCGCTCACTGGCTGAGCGAGGGGTGGGTGCAGCACCGAGGGTTGCGATCCCGTTGCCGGTCCCGGTCCGGTACGGGCGCGACACTGAGGGTTACGGTCCATTGCCGGACACGAAAAAAGACAAAAAGAAAAAAAAAAAAATCTGGCATTTGTCAAGACATAAAAGAGTTTCATCAACTCTTCCCAGAATGCCATTATAAATCATACTTAGTTTAGAAAATCATAAGTTGTAATAATAACATATCCACTTAGGTTCATATGGATAAGAGAAAGACAGGAAGGTGACAAAAATAACCTAATCCACTATCTAAATTACTAATCTTTGGATGAAAGGATCTTTTGACTTAGTATATTTTTCAATTTTAATATATTTCTACAGAATCAAGTCTACGTTTTAAAAATAAAATCACTCGGGCCGGCCCGGTGGCGCACTGGAGAGTGTGCCGCTTGGGAGCGCGGCGGCACTCCCGCTGAGGGTTCGGATCCCATGTGGAGACCGGTTCCAGCTCACTGGCTGAGCGTGGTGCGGGCGCAACACCCATTGCGATCCCGTTGCGGGTCCCCAGTACGGGTGCGACACCGAGGGTTGCAATCCCGATACCGGTCAGTAAAAAAAAAGACAAAAAGGGAAAAAAATAAAAATAAAAATAAAGGGCCGGCCCGGTGGCGCACTGGATAGTGCGCCGCTTGGGAAGCGCGGCGGCGCTCCCGTCCGAGGGTTTGGATCCCACATACAGACCGGCTCCCGCTCACTGGCTGAGCGAGGCGCGGGAGCAACACCGAGGCTTGCAATCCCGTTGCCGGTCCCCGGTCCGGTACGGGGGCAACACTGAGGGTTGCGATCCGTTGCCAGACACGGAAAAAAGACAAAAGACCAAAAAAAATAAAAATAAAAATAAAATCACTCTTCTCTATGTTTTCTCACCATTACATTTTGTAGGTAAAACTCATGGCCCCAAACAGTCCTCTATGGCACGCAGGATGTCTGGTGCTTCTGAGTATATTCCACTGGTACTAGCAGAATTCCCTTCTCTACATTTGCCTTAGTGAAACTTGTTCTCAGCAAAAACAGCTAATGTAAGTTGGTAAAGTAGTCCCCAAACTCAAAAAAGTCTCAATATCAAAAAGACAAAAAAAGAAAAATGTTTAGCTCACAATTCCAAGATACTCTGCCAGATAATAAACAGCCTCCCAAAAGGGTTCTATGGTCAAATAAGTAATTTTCTATACAGAATTCCAATCAACTGTACTATGCTAATCATGGTTGCATGGGGGGGGGGGGCAATTAGACAATGGAGCAAAATTATATGAATTTAAACTTTTCCAAATAAAACTAAACAAGATTGACTCAGAAAAATTGCTGCAGTAAACTCACCGCAATAATGGGGGGGGGGGGGGGGGGCAATTAGACAATGGAGCAAAATTATATGAATTTAAACTTTTCCAAATAAAACTAAACAAGATTGACTCAGAAAAATTGCTGCAGTAAACTCACCGCAATAAGTGTAATTCTTATGTTTAAAAATGTGCAAATAAGGACTCCTATTTTACACAACCTCTATATGCTAACAAATTATGTCACCTGACACAAAGAAACAGCAATTTTGAAAAACGCTGGGGAAAATATGATTGTATAGACTGTGTTTACGTTATTTTATAGGCAGCAAAGGAATTTCAAGGGTAATTTTGTACATACATAATTTTTTACCTTCCACACTGGTTTTAGAACGTAACCACCAAAAGAGATGTACGTTGCACTTTTTTGAACACACAACTCTCCTAGAAACATCTCACAGAATTAATGTTTCATACAACACACGGGAAAACTCTGATTTTGCTGTACAAAGTCAACATTCAAATTAAACATTCATTATCAATTCTGAGTAGAGCATGCTGAAATTGTAATATGAATTACACTTCATAGTAATTTGCACTCAATAATTTGAAAAAGTTAAAGCTTACTACTATAAAAATGTATTTCCTGGAATTATATTGTAAAAACATTACCTCAAATTAGAATTAAAAGATTCATTAGACTCAAAGTCATAGCACAGATTTAAAAGAGAAGATAAAATTGTCAAAAGGATATATCATATATATTCAAGACATTATTATAATAAAAAATTTAACTCTAACAGCAGGTATAAAATGCCTTCCTCTTAATTCAGCCAATGAAGTTAAGCAGTCAAAAAGCTAAAATAGAACCTTAAGAGTTCGTTTTGCTTACTTTTTCCATATCTATAGCCATAACCTAAATTTCTGATTTAATTTCCTCTCACTACAATGCCTGCCCCTAAATGCTCTTATAGCATTCTTCCTAAATCACAGCTCTAATCAAACCATTCCCCAAACTGAAAGCCTTCAACGGCTTCCGATTGTACATTAAGTCTGACTCCTTAAAAACAGCATTTAATGTAATCCATGATCTGGCACCCAGCAACATCCAAATTGATATCCATCAGTTCACCTTTACTCACTCTTCTTTTCAACAAAAACTTTTTAGAATGTAGTATGCCAGACCACACTCCTAGAGTTTCTGATTCAATTGGATTTACATTTTTAACAAGTCCTCAAGTGATGCTAATGCTGCTGGTCAGGACCCACACTTGCAGAACCACTGCTCTGCTCCAAAGGCCACAAACTGGAAGACCAATGGCTGAATGAGGCCCACTCATACATTGTCCATATAGCATTTTAAAAGCATTTGGAATTATTTGCAAACATTTTAAAATTGGAAATTTTCACATTAAAATGGAGATTTCTGGCTTATTCCTGCATGTAAAAATTCTGCTGGAGCTAACCAGCAACTACCCCATTTAGTCCAGGGAGATGTCCTTGTCCAGGTTATGACAGCCCGAACTGGCTCTCTCTATTCTCACTTAAAGTCACCTGGCTTAGTACTGAATTTGTGCTTGCACACCCTGATCCACTTTCTCCCATTCTTCAAGCTGCTCACTCTGACTTGAAACACCCTTTCTCCCATATATTGCTGAAATTCTCTTTCTCATCCTACAGCATGGCTTAAAAATCCCTCCTCAATAAAACCCCAGCAAAAATAGAAATCCTTAAGTAATATACATATTAAAGATTAACATAAATTTAATGTGTGCTTTAAGAATTGAGGTTTTATTTATTTCCACAAGTACTAAAATAACAATATTTACAAAAAACATGACTACAGATTATATCATAAATAATAAACACTTTTTCGCTATTTTATTCTAAATAAAATTTTAATTTGTTCATTCTGATTTTTACTGAGAAATAAATATTTTTCAGAGTAAGACATTTAAAACAAATTAAGACATTATCTTTAAATCCCATAGCCAAAATATATAATAGCTTCAATCGAATATCTTATCTCATTTTGCTGGACAAAAAAAAGGGTGGGGGGGAATAGAGGTAATTGATACAATTTCCCTAATTTCATAACCTAAACATTTTTTAAGGTAATTTTAATGAAATAAATGCTTTTAATTTCAAATCTGGAGAATATTTTAGTGAATTTTCACTTCTATGGAAGAGCAGGGGGAGAAATTACACAAAGAAAAATTGAATGCTAATCCTTGCTCTGTCATAAATAGCTTTGTTACCTTCAGTAAGTCACTGAGTTCCTCCTGGACCTCAGTTTCTTTACCTCTAGATTAAAGAGGTGGGAAAAGGTGTTCTCCAAATATCTTCCATCTCTAAAATCCTAGGAATTATTTCTTCAAAAGATGAAAGTATAAACATCAATGTTAGACAGACAAGCTTTTTGTTATTATTTCAGTATAACTTCTAACTTAACCTGACTTAAAAACCTTTAACTATAGCTTTCAGAGTTCTAATTAAAAATGCTGAAAGAATATACATGTTTGTATACGTATTTATATATATTTTAACGATCAAAATAAAACATCTTCTGTAAGGCCAACAATTAAACTTCATAGGAAAAAAATTGGGAGGAGATAATGAAAAAACATAACCATGCCAACCAATCAGTAAGTTGTAATATCTCAAAAGAAAATTAAATAATTAGAAAATCATGTCAAAAATGTTTTTCCATAATAGAGATTAACAACATTTTTCAAAAACGTATGCTGCTTCAGGATAGTCCCAAATTAGTAATTTGGCCAAAATAAAAATGATCAAATTGCAAGTTGAAAAAAAAATCTTAGAGACTATTATATTCAGGTAGATCATGCCGTAAGCGAATTGCTTTCAGCTTCTCCACTTCAATTTTTGCTCTTAGTAGCTCTTCCTCTAGCTGCTGCCTTCTTTTCAATCCATCCCTCTTCTCCTGAACATATAATCCAAAATTTTTTTGATTTTCTAAAATAATCTGATGCTCCTCTTTCAACATTTGCAGGATCTGAGGATCATATCCTAAAAGTGACCTAAAGTGTTCTCCACTCTCATGCCGAAAAAAATCATCTCTCCTTGGAATAGAAGATGGAGACGATGTCATTCTTACATCAACAGAGGAAAGTGATGGCGACAAAGATCTTTCCATAACATGTACTAATTCATGTTCTTCTCTTTGCTCTAAAGTATCACTCTGTTGAGAATTTAAAACCAGTGGAGGAGGCGGTTTAATGTCTTCTTGCTTCACCTCCACTGTAATAGCAACAGGATGGTGATCCAACATTACCTGTAGTGAACTGGTACCAGCCTGTGCCTCCTCATCCAAGTTTGCACTACAGCACACAAAAAAGCATTATAGAATGTAAATCAAATGAAGACAAGAGCTTATTTATACCATAATTTCATATTTAATATATAATAAATTATAAAGCTTTAAAACTATAAAGAAAATCATGAAACAAATTTTAACCCTTGGAATAACAAATTGAAGTGACTAAAATTGGGATTTCAAAAAGTCTGTGAAAAAACAGAATTAAAATACAAATTTTTCCACAAACTTTTTGAAGGCCCCTCATACATGTACATAAAGGTCTCTTCCATCCTTAACTTTTAAATTGGGCTCATAAAAGGGCAGGAAAATACAAATATTACACAAGGCCAATGAAGTAAATAAGAAATAAAAGTCATTTTTAATGCTCTCAAAGAAATAACAATTGTCCCTAATCTGAACTCTGAAGCTCTTAAATGGTCTAAAGAGCCATTTAATGCATCCTCAACCTTGCTATTCCCATAGCTTGGTCCTAGACCTCTTGCTTCTGCTCTCCTGAACCAATCTGAAAACCACCAAGGCCCATGACTTCTTCTTTTTTTTTTTTTTTTTTTTTAAAGATGACCGGTAAGGGGATCTTAACCCTTGACTTGGTGTTGTCAGTACCACGCTCAGCCAGTGAGCGAACCGGCCATCCCTATATGGGATCCGAACCCACGGCCCTGGTGCTATCAGCACCGCACTCTCCCGAGTGAGCCACAGGCTGGTCCAAGGCCCATGACTTCTCATAGGACAGTGGAAGGTCATCTATGAGAGGTACTTATTTCTGCATTTGCCCAAAGGAAATAAAAACATTTTTGTATGGCTTGGGGTATATGTCCAGCTATCAGGAAGTTATCTTAACTTTCCTATTTCAGATGAAATGGCATTTCCCTTTTCCCTTCCTGACCCATATGACTCAGTTGCTCTTAAAGTGTTTCAGTCATTGGTCAGGTAAAGTTCACAAGAGCAAGGGTTTTTCTCACCACTGTATACCTAGCACTTGATAGCAGGTGCTCATTATATGTTGAATGAATGACTGAATAAATGAACAAATAAAATGATTTTCTTAATGAAATGTTTTTAAGTGGTCTATATATTGAAGGTTTACTAAATTTATACATAATTTCTATAAAATATGCATTCCTGATAAACTCAATTACAGTTTGAGCATAATTTAAACTTTGACATAAAACTATTTGTCATGACATTATAAACACAATGTACCATAAAATTCTGTTTTTTAAAAATAATTTCATGTATAACATGAAGATGTTAACTGAGCATATAGAACAGGACTATCTACTTAGCTCAGTTGGTTAGAGCGTGGTCTTACAACAGCAAGATCAAGGGTTCAGATCCCCATACTGGCCAGCTGCCAAAACAAAATAAAAAACAAACAAAAAAAAGAATATAATATTGTCTCTTGAGGCATTTTTTTCTAAATCATGCTTCTGACTAACTCAAAAATCAAAGTTATAAAGGGGAGGCTAGCCAGTTAGCTCAGATGGTTAAAGCACAGTGTTATAACACCAAGGTCAAAGGTTCAGATCCCTGTACCAGCCAGCCTCAAAATAAAAAAAAAAAAACCCCTGATAAATACATAAGTTATAGAGGGAAAAGAGGTTATTGGAACATTAATGGAAATATGTTATTGAACATTATTCAGAGAACATTTTACAAACGATAAATAAGTAACATGGTCAAGAATCCATTCTACATGAATGATTAAAATGCTGTAACAAGTTCAAGTAGAATGTAAGAAAAAAAATTAAAACTTCCCATGTCACTTACTAATGGCATTAAAATTGCCAGAAATAGTAGATATGTGTCCAAGAAATACAAATGAAACACTTTATATATGTATTCATATATAATGAAAAATCAATTTGTAGATTATATAAATTCCATCATTTTTGTTTCTGTCTTTTTTTGTCATTTTATGATTTCCAAAAATAAAACTGGACTATAAATGTAATTCAAACTGGCAATATTTGCTTCTATTAACATCTCTACTAAAACCTAGAATAGGAAAAAGTTAAAACTAGATTCAGATTAAATTCTTAAAAATCCACATAATTATTCTTCCAAATTAGTATGCATAATAGAGTATAAACATAGACATTATATTCCCCTGTAAATTAAAAATATGCCTTATATCTGGAATATTCCATTTTAGTTAAAACATTACAAGACAAATTTTTTTAAAAAGCTTTAGAGAAGGTCACAAAAATGATAGAGTAGGACTTCTAAAATTTATGAATCTGAACTTTGAGGTTCAATAGGTTACAAAATATACAGTTTAATCTGTTATTAGAGAGAGTTTATAAAAATAAAGACATAAATCAGTGTGAAGTGTAGAAATAAATAGCCTTACAAAATAAGTATATATTTTTAAATACATTAAGTAATACAAAGCAGTATTATTTTCCTTATTAAGAAGGGAGAGTTTGGTGAGATTAACGGGCATATTTATGTAGAAGCATTAAGATCATAGATTAATTATAAACTTCTGAGATTATCATTAAGATTCAAGATGATGTCAACCAAATAAGTATAAGCCCACTAAATATATAAATATATTAAATGAATAAGCTAATATAAAGAAGATGTCGGTGTTGATACACTAACATAAGTAAGAATTGAAGTGGTATGTTTCTTATAGTCTTCCCTTTAAAATCTGAAAATCTGGTTATTATTTAAACAGTACGTATAAAAATTCATAAATCAATTAAATCACTTTTACCAGAGAAATACTGATGTACCAAAAGATTCTGTGTGTATGTGTGTGTATGCTGTATGTACACACACACAAATAGTCAAAATGTAAACAGATACTTATATATTTATATTTCTCTTCTATACTCACTATATTTTTTAATATATTTTATACAACTAACTAAAACTACAGTTTCTACATGTAGTTTTCAAATTACGAAAACTTATACTACCCAAAAGGTACAGTTTTATATACCTATAATGCAAAAGCCTATTTTTTCTATTGTTCTAGGGGTGTAATTTTTAAAATAAATATCATGGCATAAAACAATTTGACTGTGGAGTTTTTAGGACATCCAACATATTAGAATGTCATCATTTGTTATCACAGTAAACATTTTAACCAGGGGCCCCAAGAATTAATTCACAGTGTATCCATGTCCTGATTCCCACTGGTGACATTTTTTTTTTACTGTGCTATCAAGTAGAAATAAGCAGTATGTGGTAAGAAGGTAGGCTCAATATTTTCCTAGTAAATTACCAAAATAACAGATACACTTGGTTAAAAAGTTTTATTCTCTGTTTCTCTCCTGACTTCAAAGGAATTTCACAGGTAATCAATAATTTTCCTTATATAATGCCTCTTCCACCAATAGAAAAAGCACATTGTGTAAACTATGTTTGAAAGACCCCAACTAACAAGGAGTTTACAATTTGTTTAAATTACCCTAAATGGTTCAGAAGAATACAGCTGCCATTTTTATCTTTTGCCTGGGGTTAAAATTTGAATTAGTGGCAAGATAACAGTTTTGAAGATTCCTAGACAAATAGTTATATAGAGCACAAATTTAGCCAATAAACTGTTTATAAAAGAACCCAGTTGCTCTTATAGGTATACTATTTTAAAATTCATAGCTTAATATCCTTACAAAGAAGTATGAGAAAGCTTATCCTTTTTTGTATGATCAAAGATCAAAGTGAAACTAGACCATTAGTGAATAAAAACAACTTCTAATTTTATTAAGTAATCTGAATCCCTAATTTGGCATAAACTCCCTTTAATCATCTCATTTATTTTAAATATGTTAGAAAAATAATTTAGACTGTCTTCATATACACAATCATGTCATTAATAACTTCACTTAATCATTGATCTTAGTTCTAATTGTTAATTCAATGCTTATTCAATAAGTGTAGACAGTGACAATTCATAAAAAAGCAAAGGTTTCCTCTTGAAACTGCTAACTTTATATAAATTTTACATAAAATTAAAAATTCCAATGAAATGTAATCTTGAAATAAGAAAGATATCTCTCAAAAGCAAATTGAATAATTTAATTATAAAGCTCAAAAAGTTTATAAAGTGATGTCACAAATTTCATCCCATTTGTTCCTCCCTAACCCTTACTTTTTAGAAACTGAAGACATAAGGGGAAGGGGAGACAATAAAAAGTGGCTTAAATCAAATGCAGCAGAAAAATTCCTTATAGCCTCACTTTTCTTTTTTCAAGAATGCAAAACAAAGACACTATTCATTGCTCCCGTTGTGGGGATGCTTACTATGCATTTCTCTATCACAACTAAGCCAAAGCCCAATAGATAGGAGGCGCCATAATTTTCCACAATAAAATAAAATAAAGCTTACCTTTGTATGTGGTTCCTGTCTCTTATCAGGCAAAAACTGGAAATCTGGGGAATCATCTCCATAACTTTCTTGGTTGGCTCAGAAATATTGCTTTTAAAATCTGATTGGGTCTCTTTTTGCTGCAATAGCTCCTGTTTGGCATATTCTTTTAGCCTTTTGTAAAGGGTGCGTAGGCCCTGCGCTGTTCGAGGAGGGCGGTCTACTCCAATTGCATTATAGTTAACTGCTATGATATCCCAACATCTATTCTTTTCTACTATTACTGAATGTTTATTAGTGTGTTCTTCGAGAATTTTCACATATGGCTTCACAAGCTTTAGCAAATCAAGCTTTTCAGATAAGGTAAAATTGGAAGATCTAGCCTTTCCTACCATTGTTCTTTTCAAATTAAGTAGGCAGTTTCTGAAACCACCATGCAGCCTTCAGCTCTGCTCAGCTCTTTTCACAAACAGAAAAAGATCAGGCTTAACTAGGCTAGCCTCATTTAGGCCCACGCCTACAGGGGAGGGTTTATTAAAATTCCTCCAGCTTAAGCTGACGCAGGTTCAGGAAATCTGCTTAAGCCAAGCCTGACCTACATAAAGCTTCTCACTGAAGAAGACAGGAAGGCACTAGCAAAACACACTAAAGAGAACAGCTCGAGATAGGATTTAATACACAAAGGTCTTGAGATAAGCATGAAACACAGCTAAAATTTAGCTAATTTAGTGAGAATATCGAACTTCCACAAATGTATGGCTAGCTGATAGACTGAAACTGCATTGCAGTATCACTTTAATAAAAACAAAAGAGGAACTGCTTTGTGCTATTTGTTTACTAAAAGATATGAGTGGTGAATGTGATTCCTAACAGAGCCCCCTAATCACTGTTTCTGAGCTGAGTGTTCTCCCTTACAAAATCTGCATAATGCTGGTCCTGCTGTCAATCAGAAATTGCATATCCTCTAGCTAGTTAGGTTACACCCAAACTCAGACTCCACAGTAAAGCTAAGCTTCCCCTTCATTTTACATTCTACATTAGCCCCTGCATGTTTTATTTTCAATTATTTAAGAAGAAATTTTTGTTGAACACTAAATCTAAAAAGCTGATAAAAATTATGTTTTTAAAGCAATGGATTATTCTAGCTGTAATTTATGCGACTATGCTATCCTGCTTTATCATGTGTAAAAAAAGATCACTATTCACAGTGAGAAACAGCATAATCACGTCTTAAGACTTCACACAACCAAGTTGAATTTGCTATTGTAATAGAGCAGAATTTTTTATTTTGCTATATTCACACAATTTGGACTATGAAATGTAACAGCTAGCCTTGCCATTTGCAAGGCCACCAGTTTCAGTGCTTAGAATATATTTTCTAATCTCAGTCTGAAAACATATGATAAATAATAATGTAAGCAAAACAAGCCTATTTTCTCATGATATATATGGTTTCCCAGATAGCAGAATGAATTAGAACATATTTGAACACTGTACCCATTCAATCAAACAATTACTGAATACCTATAAAAATGCCCCCAAACACTGTGTAAGGCCCAAGAAAAACAAAGGTGAATCTAGATACAGTCCCTATCCAGGGAACTGTAGTTCCACAGAAATGCTATACATTCTCTATACCTTGTTTTTCATTCTTTTAATGGAAGAGAAGCAAATTAAATTTACTGAGTTCTCATTATGAGCCGGAAAATGTGCTAGTAGCTTTAAATGTATTATCTATCAGAAAAAAAGTGAAAGATGCTGGGTGTCATATGAAATGCTAGGTGTTGTCTGGCATACCCTACTGTGTAATTTGATTCTATGACAGTCCTTGCGTTTCATTGTCTTGAGTAGTTTTACAGCTCTGTAAATTATAGAACACTAATAGTCATGCAAATCTTTAAAATAGAAATGCAAATTGAAAACTCTCCAGCCCCAACAACTAGACCACAGGTAGTCAAAGTCTTTCTAGCTTTTTCTGAGCTTTTAAAATAAGAGAACCAAGGAAAGCAAGAACACATGATATATACTTTATTTAGACAATTATTTTGTTATTTTTGTACAAATACATTGTGTTAGAAAGTGAAATACTAATAAAAATATAAAAAAATGTTAAATCTCACTAATTATCAGGGAAATGTATACCAAAAATTATTTTCATCACAGATTGGCAAAATTTTTAAAGATTAAAAAGGTCAAAAGTGGATGAAGGTGCAAGGGAAAGAGTACTCTTCCGTATTGTTGATGGGAATGTAAAATGCACTCTGGATGGTGATCTGGGAGTATATACTAATATTTTACATGAGTAAAAAACCTTCTAAAATTGTGGTAATATTACTTCTCAGAATCTATCTCAGAAAAATACTCAAATACACACAAGGAGCAATGAAGCATTCTATGTAGTTACTTAGTCTTTGAAATAATCTAAAAGTTTATCAGTCGGGGACTAATTAAAATCAGAGTACATCCATACTATGGTCTATTCCAAGCAGCATTAAAATAAAAGAGGCATATTTCTAAATATTGGCCTAGAACAAACTCCAAAACATACGGTAAGTAAAAAGAGCAAGTAAAACAAAAATATATACAAAATAACCCCATTATACTTACAAAAACACCCGAAACCAAATATTTCTATGAGTACAGAATGTTATATATGTTGCTGAAAATGTAGGTACAAATATATGTATGAAAATGTACTCCAAAAAGGTCTAGAACCCTGCTATCCAATACAGTAGCCATGAGCCCCATGTGGCTACTGAGCATTTTAAATGTGGCTAATGGAACTGAGGAAATGAATTTTAAATTTATTGAATTTTAATTAAACAAAATCTTTAAACTGAAGCAGCATATTTGTCCTTTAAACACAACTTTTATTATTTTGGTAGGATTACATTTTACCTTAACATTTTCACCACATATGATACTGTCAAAAGACAAAATTACAGCAAATTTAAAGATCTTAATTGGCTTTTATTTGCGATTCAAAAATGGAGGCGGCCTCCATTCTACAAAATAGAATGAAAGCTCCCACCAGGCAACAGCAAAACAGTAGGTTTTGTAAGGTGGAAATAAGAAAACAGAATAGAAAAAAAAACTGATTGGTTAACATCAGGTTATTCAGGTTACTTTTTTAGAAGGGTTAAAAGAAAGAGGGGACTTCCTTATTACGCTGACTCAGCTAGACTGGAATCTCCTGTTTTCAGAAATAAAATGGTCTGTTTTGGAATTGAAATGGCAGGGGTGGGGGGAACCACTGATTTCCCCTGACAGAGTGGGCCTCAGCTCGGGGAAGGGAAATATAGCTAAAGAAAAACTGCTTGATCAGGCAGTAAGGGCTGGATTCCTATGAGTAATAATAATAAGAGTAGAGTTGACTAAACATAAACTTACTTAGGCTAAGACTTGATTTGGACATCAGGATGTTTGTTTCTTAGACTAAGACTTGATTTAAAGGTCAGAATGTTGATTCCTTAACTGAATGCCTTATGGCTTAAGATAAACATCTATAATATCAACCTGGAGTTATTTCTGCAGACCACTTGCAATTACAAACCTGCTCTGAAGCACACACACTCTGGACCCTAAAGACACCATGGAAAAAATCCATCAAGATGCCAGGAATAGTTACGCTAACTTCACCACGAGCCAGTCAGCTCCCCACATGACTACTGGGACCCCCCACTCATGATTGTGCTCTATAAATGCTTATGATTCTAAACTATTGGGGAGTCCTGGGTCTTAAAGCTCCTTTAGCTCCCACGGGCTCCTCTGAATGGCCATCAAAATAAATGCTAATCTTTAACACTGCAAATTTTGGCATGAGCAATTTCTTAGTCATTCGGGCAGCAGATGAGGAATCCCGCTTGGTTCATATGCTTCCTTAAAGCTTTAGTTTATTATGTGGAATTTGGCATGAATGACTCCATTTTGGTTTGGTCTAGTCTGTTATGGCCTCCCATAATTTTATTTAACAATACTATTGTTTCTAATATTATTGACAAGGACTCTCTCCTTGACCAAACTTTAGTCAGGCTCCTCTGAGCCCTCTTCTCAACTAGGCCTTACCCTTGGCCTGCTAAGGCCAGTTTTATCAAGAATCCTGCTAAGCCAGTTTATCAAAAATCCTCCCACCCTTGCTATCTAATCAAGTGCCTCTTCCCACCTACCTTTGATATCTAAGCAAGTTCCATTTGTTATTTTTCATGTACTAGCCCCCTTACCCTGCAAATTGGCTATAAAATAAATCCCTGTTGTATTGGGAGTTGAGTTCAATCTCTCTCCCCTATTGCAAGAGTCTTGAATAAAGTGTTTCTCACTTGTTTGACACGCCCATTGTAATTTTTCTTTGACATTACACATAAATATATCACCAATATAAGGAATCTTAACAAAATGATCCAGTTTGAATAATTTTTATGCACTGATGTAATATTGTAATGAATTTATTTCAATATTTTATGTAAATAGCACCAATTAGTGATACCCTATATAAACTGTAATTATTAATATGAAAGATTATTTTTTAAATTATATTATAATCAAATTATCTTTCTAGCTTAAAAATTAGAATAAATAATTTTGTAACTTAAAAAGAAGGTATACTACTGATGCAGAATTAAGTAGAGATGGAGAAGCTAGTACTCCTACTAGAATAGTTTGAAAAAAAGAGACTGGAATAAGGTACACCACAAATTTCATGACAAACACCAAATGCAATTTGCTACAGCAGAACTAGAATAGCTATTTATTGCATAAAAAATTTTAAAGATAATAAACTAGACAATATTAGGAGACACTGTCAACAAATGCATAGTAAATTTGAGAAGTTTACTCTTAAGAGTCAAACAAGGACTGCCTGGTTAGCTCAGTTGATTAGATCCCAACCTTGTAACACCAAGACAAGGGTTTTGATTCCCCACACAGACCAGCCACCAAAATAAATAAATAAGTTTTTTTTAAAAAGAGTTAAACGAGAATTGATAAAATTTAATCACCTCAAATCAGAATTAAATATTCAGAAACATTTTTAAATGATTTGTAACAAGTTCTGAGCTTTTAATTTTAGCCAGCTAGAAAACATCTTGGTTTGTTGAACCAAAAGAAAAAAAAATTTTTTTTAGATGGAGAGATGGTAAAAAGTATTATTGTAGTTCTGAAAATTTTATTGAAAAACTATGGAAAAAAGATTTTAAAAGATATGTTTTAAAAATAAAAAAAAATCAGTTAAGCAAACAATTGCCTGTAGAAGACCTAACATCAAAGATCAACTGATCCAAATTTTTTTTTTTTTTTTTTTGTGACCGGTAAGGGGATCGCAACCCTTGGCTTGGTGCTGCCTGCACCGCGCTCAGCCAGTGAGCACACCGGCCATTCCTATATAGGATCCGAACCCGCGGCGGGAGCGACGCTGCACTCCCAGCGCTGC